AGACAGGGGCTGTGAAGGTAAGACGGGGGTTTCCCAGGAGCTGACACTGTTCCATTTCCTGACCCGCTGGACATGCTGGGTTTGCTTCTTATTCTGGGACCTCTTCTGTAGGGAGAGGCTGAGCCCTGCCAGGAGCCGACCGGTCTTGAGGCCCAGGCATGCTGGACCTTGGGAGAGGTCCAAAGGGGGTCCTGGCAGCCTCAGAAAAAGGCCTGGGACTATATAATACTGCACTGTATTATATAATATTATTACATAATTATATATATACAGTACCATATAATATTGCACTGCATATTACATAAATACATACAGTGTTCCATGTACAATAAACGTACTGTATTATATATTACATATACAGTATTATATATAGACTTGTATTATAGATTTATATGCATTTATTATATATATAATACTGCACCATATATAATTACATAATTACACATAGTGTTTCATATATAGTAACACCACATTGTGTTAGTTACATAATTACATATATAGTATTATATATACAGTATGGTACCGTATTACATATTGTTACATTACATATATGGCATTATATATATAAAATACTGCAGTGGGGCACCTGGTTAAGTGTCTGACTCTTGGTTTCTGCTCAGGTTGTGATCTCAGGGTCCTGAGATGGAGCCCCGTGTTGGGCTCCACACTCAGTGTGGAGTCTGCTTGAGATTCTCTCTCCCTTTCCCTCTGCCCGTCCTGCTCATGCTCTCTCTCAAATAAATCAATCTTAAAAAAAAAAAAAAAAATACTGCAGGGGCACCTGCGTGGCTCAGTAGGTTAAGCATCTGCCTTTGGCTCAGGTCATGTGGGATCGAGTCCTGCATCGGGCTCCCTGCTCTTTGTATATAGTCTGTTTCCCCTTCTCCCTCTGCCTCTCCCTGACTTGTGCTCTGTCTTGCTGTCTCTCAAATACTAAGATCTTAAAAAAATACTGCAGTGTTACATATTATTACATAATTACATATATAGTATTATGTAATACTGCATTGCATTATAATACCTAATTACACACACAGTATTATAGGTATTACACAATCATACAGAATATATATATATAGTAACGCGGCACTGTGTTACACATTACGCAGTTATAGACATAGCATTATATATACGATACCGCACTGTCCTATTAGTTACATACGCAGTATTATATATACAATACTGTACCTTATTGTTACATGATTACATACACAATAACACCGTAGTGTATATTTGAAAGCTGCTCAGAGTACAGCTTAGAAGTCCTCATCACCAGAAAATACTTTTTGATAGAGATGTTAAGTAGACTTCTGGTGGTGAGCATTTTGCAATACATACATGTGTTGAATCAGTACATCGTACACCTGAAACTACTAGAACACCATTTGTCAATTCTCTCTCCATAAAAACAAAAGGAAGGTGCCTGGGTCAGCCGAAGGGCAGAAGTCTTCCTCCCAGGCCCCTCACCACTGCTCCTCCCCCGGATGTGAGGATGGGTGGCAGGGGTGACCCTTGCACAACCTCCTTGGGAGAGCAGTCCCAGCCCAGAGGCTCAGCAGGATTAGCCTCACGGAGGGAAACAGAGAAGGGAAGGAACAAGGGGCCAGAAAGCACTAGAGAACTTCTGGTGCCCAAGAAATCTGCTGATCCCCAGGGACCCCTCAAGCCTTCCTGGTGAGCTCCTGTGTCACTCAGGGAGGGCTGGCCACCTGGGCTGGCACTCCTGTAGGACAGTCAGTCCTTCTGCACGGACTGGGTCAGGGACCGTGGGCACCCGGGAGACCTTGCACCTGTCCCTAAGTAGCCATCAGCTTTGTCACCTGTCACACAGCATGCAGGGCGATGTGGCGTAGACTAATGTGCCAGAGAATGCCCAGATTAAGCCCCTATGGGGATGTGGGGTAAGTAGGGGAAGGGCTGTCTGCCGGGCTGGCATAGGGACTGCGCAGTGGACATTAAAGCAATTAATTGTGCCAGCAACTGAGGACATGACTCCTCAATCCCCCTTTCCTAAGGCTAAGTATTCCCTTTGCCTTGTGCCCTGATGGCCAGAGCTGGGGGCCCCGCTTTAAGGACTCAGCAGCTCACTTCACATGCCAGAAGATGCCGTTTAGGGTTTGAAGTTGGTGCCCCAACTCCCATCACCCCCACCCCCACTGCCCCCACTCCAGCTCTTGGTGTCCTTCAGACCAAGAGCATCAGCAGCCCAGGGAGACTCACGTTTGTGGTACTGACACAGGCTACCGTGCAGATAAACCCTGCAAACCCTGCTCGGTAACAGGAGCTAGTCACAGGTCACTTACTCTGTGCTCTCACTGACAACAGGTCCAGAGCCGAAAAATCGACAGACACAGAAAGTAGATTAGTGGTTGTCTAGGGCTGGTGTCAGGGGGAGTGATTGCTAATGGGTACCCCGGTTTCCTTCAGGAGTGATGAAATATTCTAAAACTATGCAGTGATCAACTACAAAGTATAACAACGTGCAGTTATTAAAAACCACTAAACTGTACACTTTAAAGTAGTTAACATGTTGAATTTTATGTTTTAACTCAATTAAAAAAAATCTATACAGGGCGCCCAGGTGGCTCAGTTGTTAAGCATCGGGCTCCGCGGGAAGCCTGCTTCTCCCTCTCCCACTCCCCCTGCTTGTGTTCCCTCTCTCGCTGTGTCTGTCAAAAATATAAATCAAATCTTTACAAAATCTACCTACAATATAATAAAAGTACATTTTTGGGCCCCTCTCCAGAAAATCAGGATGGGGAGATGGGGCAATAACCTGTTTTAAGTCCTCCATGTATTTCTGATGCCTGACTCAACTGTCCCAGTCTTTCCTGAGCAGGGCCACAGGCAGGTCCCAAACCCCACTGTGGCCACCATCCCACTCCTAGGTGAGGGTCCCTTCCAAAGCACTGTGGTGGACATCCCCTCTCCCACTTGCTCCAATCACAGCTGGATAGCACCTCACACAGGGCACTCCCAGCTCCCAGGCACAGCCAAATACCCCCACTATCCTAGGGAGAATCTCCACATACCCACAGGACACAGTGGGTGTGTCCACAAGGCTGGGCCCTGCTGGGTATCCTATGGGCTCCCATGCAAGCTACAGGGCCAGCACGTCCAGCCCTCCCTTCACCGGCCTGTAGTTCTGGGCCTGGCTAGAGACCCCCATTTTGAGTCAAAAGGGTGGCCCCAGAAGTCCCACCCACTGTGGCCAAAGGACCCCTCCTCCAGGGCAGCTGGGGGCCTCTATGCACTTAGGAGATGCCACAACCTACACTAGGTGCTGGTCAAGGTGTTCTCCTCTACTGGACAGAAGCAGGGTGTGTACGTGGTGGTGGTGGTGGGGGGGAACCTCAAGAGCCTGACTCCACCACCATGATCTCAGAGCCCTGGAGGATCTACACCTGTTGGCCTGACCCACCCAAATCTCAGGGATTGCAACTGCCTCCTGACCTGCGTCCCTGCTTCTCTCTACAAATATTTCCCACATTTTCATATTCTTCAAGAGGACTCAGGGTGGCATGGTGACCTCTCTGCCCCCAGCCCCCTTATGATTTATGGGTGACTTCCTCTAGGAACCTTCCACATCCCCGTCTGGGAGCTCTCCTCCCCTGGAACCCAACTAGGGTGAGCTATGGGGTCCTCAGAGTGTTGTGCATGGCCTTCGTCCATTTGACCTCTTCCTCTCCACCCACCCAGGACCATGTGTCCACTAAACCCCTTCCACACACAGGAGAGTGAGCAGTACTTGAAACCCATGAGACTCAGAGGTTTGGGGTACACCAGGGACAGGTGGGTGCCTCTAGCAACGAGGTTGGAAGAGCCAAGCACAAGAGCTCAAGACCACCGGCTCCTAGACAGAGTGAGGAACACCCAGGTGTGGGGGGAGCACGTGCAGCTTCCAGGCATCCTACAACTGTCTCAACCTCAGCCTTACCTTTGCGGCTGACACCTCATTACTACTCCTAAGTCCAGGGATGTCTTCACTCTGCCTTTTCAAAACCACTCCTCCACGGATGGTGGTGATGGCTGCACAACACAGGAACACACTTAATAATGGCTGAAATGTTTAAGTTTTGTGTATTTTACTACAGGTTTTTTTTTTTTTTTTTTTTAAAGTCCAGGAGATGAGGGATGGAGGCGGGAGGTCCTTCTGTCATCCTGGCTCCGAGCTGCGCACCCTCATGCTGCCTGACCTGGGGTGTGTTCTGCCTGCTTCAGCCCAGGCAGCCGAACAGTCATGCACCCACAATCCCAGGCCTCATCCCCTTTGCCCCTCCCCTCCTTAGGACCACCCTTAACCCACTCATGGCTTTGCACCAACCTGCATCTACTTCCCAAACTCTAGAGGACACGCCTCTACTCAATGAGCTTGGGGTCTATTCTACCTACCAAGCAGGTATCCTTCCCCCAAGAAGTGAAAAGAAGAGATTCCCTGTTACCCTTTTCAGAAGGGCTCATTTTGGTCTCTTAGTAAATGTGACAGAATAGCTGAGAGCATGGGTACCACCAGGCTCTCTTGAGTATGAGTCAAACTACAACCTGACCCAAATCAGCATCTCCCGCCTCTGAGGACCCCGTGGCTGTCATGTGGATGTTGTCCAAAGGCCTTTGTCCTTAAGTAACTCCCAAAGGGGAAGCTGCAGTGTGGTTCACTGTAGCCAGGCTGAGGCTGCGCTAACAGCAGACTAGACGGGCAGCCCTTCCTAAAGAAGTGGATGTGGAATGGGGCACCTCCCTCCTCCCCAGGGGAGCCTGCTGTGGTCTGCACTAAGGGGTGGAGCTGTGCAGCCCAGCAAGCAGACAGCACATTGCACCCCAGACAGTCAGGGCAGGGCAGCAGGCATTTCGGATGCCAACAGTCAAAGGGAGTCTAACATTAAGTCACAATTTCTGAGGGTGAGCTTGCTCACCGAGAACATCCAGTGTGCCACCCGCTGTGGGAGGCCACGGTGAAGTCCCTAGAGCACAGCAGGACAGCAGAGACCCCACCGCAGCAGTAAGGAGGCCGTCTGTCAGATTTATTTATTCCTACTCAACAGAACCCCAGAACACAGGAGCAACTCTGTACATCGCTAGAAATTCACAGCGAGCTCCAAAACAATAGAAATTGTAAACTACAAAAGATGAGTTGTATTCAGCAAATATAAAGAGTAACTTTAGGCTGTGTTGAATGTTTATCAGACTATTTACAGGCCCGGATGCAGGTTCAGATTTCACCAGCCTCCTTTTCCTCTGACCTCCGCGAAGTTGTCTTCCCATTGGAGCTCTCCAGCCTCCAGTCAGCAGCCCCTCGCTCACTGCGCCCATGCTCCCAGGACTCCTCCCTTGGTGCCCGTTCTCTGGAGAACCTGGGAAATGAGAATCAGAGGCTCGGAGGAGGCCAGCATCCCTCTTCTGGCTGACTCCTTGAGCACTGGCTACTTGGACCCTCAACATCAGCTCAGGTAAGACCAAGACACAGCACGCCCGGGGAAGCCCTTGGCAGGCAGAGGGCAGCCGTCTAGTGCCCAAGCCACTACAAGGGAGTGTTCAGGCAGCCACTCAAAAGTGACATTTGTAAAGATTTCTCCTAACAGGGTAGGCTTTTGCTATAACGTGAGTGAAGCAAAGGACCACAAAGTGTACATGTGGAGTATGATCCATTACATAAACAGTGGAAAAAAGGCTATAATCAAGCACACAAAGGTGCTCACAGCGCTTACCTCAAAGTGTCAGTATGAATGTTTTTTGGGCTGTTTTTCCTTAAGAAAACCACAACAGAGGTAAGCAGGGCCTGGTCAGAAAGCAAATCTCAGGGGCTCTGTGTACTGAGGGGACACTGAGCATGTGGCAGGTCACGAGGGAGCTCTGCCTGTGTAACCACCTCCACAGCCTCTCAACTTGTCCCAGCCCTGAATCCACCTGCTGCTCGAGCTTACAGCTCCCTATGCGCTGGGCCCCATTCACGACTCCTCAAGGCTCCAACACTCAGTTCCAGAGATGCCCAGCCAGGCTCCTGAGCAAAAGCCCCAGACCCATCCCGACCAGGCATGGCCAACAGGCCCCAGCGATGGACCCCCAGAAGACCCTGGGAACACAAAGAGAAGGGGCTCACTCCTGGTTGCAGCTACTGAAGGAGTCAGAGTAGTTACTTGTATTTCGCACTCCGGTCCCTGGAAGCCCGGCGGTGGCCCCGGCTGTGGCTGCGGGAACGGCTGCGGTGGCGCCGGTGTCTGTCTCGGGACCGGGATCGGGACGACTTTCGTCGCTCCCTGGAGGTAGATCTGGACCTCCTGCGACGCCGATCCCGGGAGCGTGACCTGCAGCAGACAAGCAGAAGGCTCTGAAGGCCATGATGCCCCCTGCCAATGGCCCTTCTCTCACAAGAAGTTCTGCTAGATGTTTCACTGGCATCTCCCCTACCCTTCTACAAATTTACAACTGGGGTCCACAACAGTTCCATCAATTCAGAATTATGGCCCCCTCCCGCTGATGCTTCCACAAAACACCTCGCCAGGAAACACCTGCCACCCCACAGGCCTCAGCAGTACCTTCTGACTTCCCCTCTCATTTACAGTGGATTCCTCTGCTGCACTAAGCCCCAACCAACCTGGCAACAGATGGATAGGGCCTGAGCTTGGTCCCTCACCAGCCCTGCCCACCAGAAAACAAGTGTGAGGCTATAAAAGTTAACTAATAAGGAAAAATGCATGTGGAGGGGTGCCTGGGGGGGCTCAGTCAGTTAAGTGACTCTTGGTTTCGGCTCACGTTGTGATCTCAGGGTCATGAGATTGAGGTCCACGTCAAGCTACACGCATAGGGCAGCATGTAGCTTGGGGCTCTCTCCCTCTCCCTGTGCTCCCCACTGCTGCATGTGCATGCATGCACACACTCTCTCTCTCCCATAAATAAATCTTAAAAAAGAAAAAAAAAATGTGGGGGGAGAAAAAAAGACAAAAAATGTGGGTGGAAAAAAGGGCATCTGAGAACATGTTAATGGACCTGGAAACCTACCTCCTTCTATCTCTGGTTCTTGATCCAGACCTAAAACGAAAAAAGAAAAAAGACAAAGAGAAAAAAAGGATGAGCAATTTCCCCCAAACAGCCCGCCCCACGGTCCACGAGCTGAAGGAGTGCTGGCTTTCCACCGAGTCGGCTCACCCATTCTCAGGCCCACAGCTCCAAGTGTCAATGCCCACAGCATGAGGCCAGCCCCCAAACCCCAGGGGTCAAATGCTACACTCTGAGTTCAACAACTAGCTCATCGAAGTCACCTGCACAGCTATGCAGACTGTCACACAGCGGATGCAAGGCTGGACAGGATCTAAAGTCACCAAAGGACACCAAAGTTAAAGCAAAGCCAAAGCCTCAAGTTCCAGACACAGGGTCACTGCTAGGTGAGGGTCACATGACCTCCCTGAGACCTATATAACCAACCAGCAATCCAAGAAATACACGATACAATGAGTTCTCATTTTACACCCTGTTCTACAGCAAAAATTAACAAAGTAACTAGCAAAATGTGCTGAGGGGGATGTGACAGAAGATGTTCACACAACATGCATCTAAAGGATGATCTGAAAGTTTTTTGTAAAGCAATTTTTCCAACACCTACTAATTTAAATTCCTTTGTCCTAGGAATTCTAAGAAATTTTATAAACCAATCAAACATACCAAAATAAGGATAATTACTATAGTACTCATTCAAAAATGGTTTTATAGGGATACCTGGGTGGCTCGTCTGTTAAGTTTCTGACTCTTGATTTCGGCTCGGGTCATGATCTCAGGGTCCTAGGACGGAGCCCTGCATAAGGCTCCACTCAGCAGGGAGTCTGCTTGAGGATTTCCTTCCCTTTGCCCCCCCCCGCCCACGCTCTGTCTCTCTCAAATAAATAAATCTTTAAAAAACGAAATAGGGGTGCCTCCGTGGCTCAGTGTGTTGGGCATCTGCCTTCAGCTTGGGTCATGATCCCAGGGTACTTGGATCGGGCCCCACGTCGAGCTCCCTGCTTAGCGGAGAGCCTGTTTCTCCCTCTCCTATGCCCCCGGCTTGTACTCTCTGTCAAATAAAGAATAATAAAATCTTAAAATAAAACCCCCAAATTGGGGCACCTGGGTGGCTCAGATGGTTAAGAGTCTGCCTTTGGCTCAGGTCATGATCTCAGAGTCCTGGGATTGAGTATCAGGCTCCCAGCTCAATGAGGAGTCTGCTTCTCCCTCTACCCCTCCCCCTGCTCATGCTCTCATGCTCTCTTGCTCTTTAAAATAAATAAAATCTTCATGATTTTATTTATTTGTCAGAGAGAGAGATAGAGAGTGTGTGTGTGTATGCACACACAAGCAGGGGGAGCAGCAGACAGAGGGAGAAGCAGGCTTCCCGCTGATCAAGGAGCCCAATGTGGGACTCGATCCCAGAACCCTGCGATCACAACCCGAGCTGAAGGCAGACGCTTAACTGACTGAGCCACCCAGGTGTCCCATAAGTAAACTCTTAAAAACAAAACAAAACCCACAAAAGACAAAAATAGCTTTATAGAAACTTCGTCATCCAAAACTGAAATTAGGGATGCCTTATGTGTTTTGCTTAATACATTTTTATACTGTTTGAATCTATTTTGTTTTTGTTTGAGTCTCTTTACAATCAAAATCGGTTAGTAATGAAAAGAAGCACAATAAATACAATAAACACTTACTTGTTGTTTCTGAATTATACACTAATTCCTCCAGGAAAGCCCAGCTTCTGGGTCTTTCAAAGACAGTGAGCTGCACCCCATGACAGTGGGGTCCTGGCTCCAGCCTTTTCCCTGAACTCTGACCACGTCTCCTAAGCATCTCAAACTGAGTATGGCCAGAGCCAAATTCTACTGCCCACCACCCCCCCCTTCACCCTAGTACACTGCTCCCAGTGTTCTCCATCCCCTAAGTGGCAGCTCCAGGCCTGAAACCATGAGGCCAGCTCTGTTCCCCCTTTGCTTGCCTCACAACCTTACACCAGGAAATCTTAACAGCTCTATCCCCACAACACACTGAGACCCCGCTCACCCTGTCAACTGGCACCTCCTTCACTGGGACTCTTGCTGCTTCCACCCTTACCACCTACGCTCGTTCTCAGCAGAGCCCGACAACCCTCAGTCAACTCCAGAGTCTGCTCAGACCTAAGGCCCTTCCCGGACAGATTTTCCCTTCAGCAAGTATGGCTGTTTGACAGAGCATGCCCCAGCTCCAGAGGGTGTCAGCTCCTGCCCAACTTGTTGGCTGAGTGCTGCGTCCCCAGGACCCATTAGGCGGGTCAGGGCACAGAAGGTTCCTCTCCTGCTCCTACTGCTCAGCCTCCCCTACACCTTCCAAGGTATGAGCGAGGTTGCCACAGCTGCATGTGCAGCTTCGGATGACTGTCCGCACCACACAGCGCTCCTCCCAGGCCAGCCAAAATCCCGCTCTTCTGAAGGCTGCATGTCTGCTCATTTTTCTTTTAAGGGCCACGTAGGTCCGTAGCAGACCTCAATTGCTACAAGCCAGACTGCAAGGAAGGAGCAGGGTCTCTTTGGGCATGTGCGTACTGTGGACTCACCTCCTGCTCAGTCGCTCCTCCCGCTCTCTCTCCTCTCTCCTCCTCAGTCGATCCTGATTTCTCTTCTCCTGCTTTTCAGCCACAGTTTTCTAAATAAACAAAGAGTTGGAAAATGAGAGAAGAAAAAGTTATACCAACTAGAGTATGAATGTTGTTTAACAAAGCACTTTTATGGGGCGCCCAAGCATCTGCTTTCGGCTCAGGTCATGATCTCAGGGTCCTGGGATCGAGCCCCACATCGGGCTCCCTGCTCGGCGGGAAGTCTGCTTCTCCCTCTCCCGCTCCCCCTGCTTGTGTTCCCTCTCTCGCTGTGTCTCTCTCTATCAAATAAATAAATAAAATCTTGGGCGCCTGGGTGGCTCAGTTGGTTAAGCGACTGCCTTCGGCTCAGGTCATGATCCTGGAGTCCCTGGATCGAGTCCCGCATCGGGCTCCCTGCTCAGCGGGGAGTCTGCTTCTCCCTCTGACCCTCCCCCCTCTCATGTGCTTTCTCCCTCATTCTCTCTCTCTCAAATAAAGGAATAAAATCTTTAAAAAAATAAATAAATAAAATCTTAAAAAAGAAAAAAGCACTTTTACACGATCTCAATATTAGTAATTTAGAAATCTAAAAAAAAACTCTTAGGAAACAGGAACATTATCACCTTTAAAGATTCTTAATAGAAAATACACGAAAGCAACGCTTTTATAAATACATCTTAGAAATTCGGTGACAAACTGCATATTCTAAGAGGTGCTATGGTTCTAAGGCACAGAAACTGATCTTTTGATTCACACCAATCCAGATAGTTTTTTACCCAAAGGAGATTCCACACACTTCACTGTAAAAAACCACATGTCTGACCAAACCTATCCTGCTGCCCAGGAGCAGCCTGTCCTTCGAGTGCTGAGTGCTACCCTGACTTGAGACCCAGCCTTGGTGGGGACAGCAGGCCAAGGAAGGTAGACCGTGAACACTCCACAACCGGCTGGCTTTCCTGTTTGCTTGCTTGCTTTAGTATTTTAAGTAATCTCTACACCCACCGTGGGGCTGAAACTTACAGCCCCAAGACCAAGAGTCCCATGCTCTACCGAATGAGAAAGCCAAGGACTCCCACAACTGGCTTTCAACACCAAGCTCAATACTTGGCTCATCAGGCTCGATGGTGAACACAACAGAAAAGACAATGCAACAGAGTGGAGGAGGCCGGGAGAAATTCCACTGTGGAACACTACTGACACAGCTTAGCTCAAAGCACTAAGTCCAGTCTACATACCCCCACCCCCATATCAACCCAAAGCCTTTTTTTTTTTTTAAAGATTTTATTTATTTATTTGAGAGAGAGAGAATGAGAGATAGAGAGCACGAGAGGGAAGAGGGTCAGAGGGAGAAGCAGACTCCCCACTGAGCAGGGAGCCCGATGTGGGACTCGTTCCCGGGACTCCAGGATCATGACCTGAGCCGAAGGCAGTCGCTTAACCAACTGAGCCACCCAGGCGCCCTCAACCCAAAGCCTTTTGATGTCCCCCCCTCTCTGCTGATGGAATGAAGCCCTAAGGGGGAGTAAAGTAGGGCCAGGGAGACAAAGGGTCACGAAGGATAACCCTGTATCTCAGTGAAAACTGCAGTCAGGCCCCTGAACAAAAGGGTATAGCAAGGCCTGAGGGAGAGGGGCCAGCTATCCTCCTCAAAGCACTCACAAGGTGCGAGAGCCCTCCTATCTGGAGCCTCTGGCTCTCCACCCCTGGCTTCACTTGTCTTGGACCTGAGCAGGCACACAAGGATGGACACATTAGGGTTAAGGATGGGAGTTTCAGCCCCTCAACTTACATGCAGACTCCTCCTAAAGAGGATGTGACTGAGTACAGGGCTATGGTCTGGTATTAACTCCTTCACAAACCTCTCTACTTCCTACACACTGTCCTTCCACCCCTAAGAAAGAAGGCCTTGCCTCACTATTACCTGGGTGTGTGGCCTGGAGGTGTGAGCACCTCTGGGACCACTGTAAGTGAAGCCATCTCTGGTTAGGGCCCAGAACTGTCACCCTCCTGACTGTTTAGAGGTGCACTTCCAAACATGTTTTCAGTTGTTAGTTTAACAGCCATTATCAAAAGCTGTAATATATTTGTGTTGTTTTGGTCAACTACGTACAACTCACACTGCAAAGATAAAGCATGCCTTCTTGATCTAGTTAATACTAAGTTCTTTAGAGGTGCGCCTGGCTGGCTCAGCCAGTACAGCATGTGGCTCTTGATCTTGGGGTTTTAAGTTTGAGTCCCATGTTGCATGTAATGATTACTGAAAAATAAAATCTTCAAAAAAACAAAAACTTGTTCTTAAAGTTTCAGGGGAAAAAATTCCAATACAATCTCATCTCTGTTGGAGAAATATGTGTTAAAAAAAAAAATAAAAGGCTTTCAGGTTTAAAAAAATATCAAAACTAGGGACACCTGGGTGGCTCAGTCTTCGGCTCAGGTCATGGTCTCAGGGTCGTGGGACTGAGACCCCCCATCAGGCTCCCTGCTCGGCGGGAAGCCTGGTTCTCCCTCTCCCTCTCCCCCTGCTTGTGTTCCCCCTCTTGCTGTGTCTCTGTCAAATAAATAAAATCTTAAAAAAAAAAATCAAAACTAAATTATGGGGTGCTATGAAATGGAAATACAATTTAAAGGAGAAATGGAAGGGATGCCTGGGTGGTTCAGTTCATTAAGCATCTGACTCTGGCTCAGGTCATGATCTCTGGGCTCTGTGCTCAGTGGAGAGTTTACTTGGGGATTCTCTCTTGATTCTCTCTCTCCCTCTGCCCCTCCCCCTGCTCACGCGCATGCTCCTCTCAAATAAATAAATTTAAAAAAAAAAAAGAAGAAGAAATGTGTAACAGAGTGTATCACTTTCCAAAATTCTATTGGGAGCACAGGAGCGAACTGTGTTAAGACCAGTGGCTGCCACCCCAGCTCCACTCCCAGTGCCAAGTTCACACCTCACCTACTGGCAACCCCTCCTCACGTGCAGGGCTCTGCCCCTTGCTCCTTCTAGGGGCACACAAGGCCCTCCACCTTGATTGCTGCAGTGTCCCAGTCAAGTGCCATGCGTCTTTCCACCAAATTTCATGTGTCTGGAGGGAAGACCTGCATAGTTCCCAGCACCCCAACCTAGTGGTCCCTGCACACAGCAGGGAGGACTCCACCAGTCTGAAAAATAATTCAAAGTATCTGAAACATGCTCACCCATCCTTCTAAGCGTTCCAGACCCAAAGAAAGTTTTAGAGTTTAACCCAGGAAACTGAAGAGCCTTGAGGAAGAGACAAAGGTGGGCAGTGGTGAAGCAGTGCTATCCAAAAAACTCCACCATGTTCTCGTCCTTCCGAGGAGACTCAAAGGCAAGGGCCAGGAAGTATGATCTTCTGTCTAGCCTAACCACTCTCCATGCATCCGCCTCTGCCGAAGGAGAAAAATGAGACTACTGGCTCTTCCCATCTCCAACCAAAAGTTATTTCAGAGGTGTGCGAGAGCTCTCTGTACCAGAGGACTAGACTCTGCATTTTTTTCCTGCAAACAAGTGCAGACTAATCGCTTTGGATTCTGAGACCTTTGTTCTCTTGGGTGAATGAGGTGATAAAATCTAAATATTTCACTATAAAACTCAAAGACATGTTCTTAGAAAAGATGAAAATGGTGCCTGGGTGGCTCAGTCAGTTAAGTGTCTCAAGTGGCGTCATGGTCTCAGGATCCTGGGAGTGAGCCCCACGGCAGGCTCCCTGCTCAGCGGGGAGTGTGCTTGTCCTTCTGCCCCGCCCCCATTTCTGCACACTCTCTCTCAATAAATAAAATCTTAAAAAAAAGATCAAAACACAAGGTTTTCTAGAAGTTAACACGAAGACATCACTTCTTGGGTTTCTCCAGAAACCACATATTAACGTACCCTCAACTGATCAAGCTTCTCTCGGATCTGAATGAACCCCAAGTGTAACTTGCCCCCGAAGTGGTCCGCAAGACGACGGTCATTGTCGTGGAGACCAAGGTAGGCCGAACAGACCTCACAGACACGCAGCTTCTGCTGTTGAAAACTGGATGCAGGCATGGAATTTCTGTATTCTTCCTGGACAGTGGGAACAGAGCAATGAAAATGAAGTACACAGAACCACAACTAAACAGTCAACCCCCAAAATGTAAATATTTGAAGGGACTATAGAGGTGACTTTTAAATAAACAAAAAATGGATCATTGACAAGCTTCAGATATTTGTAACTGACTCTATTTCCATTGCTTATTTACGAAATGAACAATCATGATTTCAAAGCAATAAGGAACATTCAAAATTCTCAAACAAGCAGGATGCTGTCTGTTCTCAAAGGCCAGCAGGAAAGGCAGGTCTCAGTTACACACAGTGGAGAGCTCTAGGAGGACCACAGGAACAAGGGAGACTCTTCAAAAGGGGCCCTCAAAAAAACAAAGCACAAAAACCAAACCAAATAAACAAACAAGAGCCACTCATGGAGACTGTCCCAACGTCTAGGAAGCTATATGCCAACTCTGCCCTAAAAGCTAAAATTTGGATGGACAAATACAGTAGACACTCTCTTCAAAAAAGAATGTGTCCGACAGAACAAGCAAAACACCCCCCCCCACCCCCGGCAGCCACTCCAGTCAGAATGGATGAAATACAGAAGAAATGAAGTAATAAGACATGGTTCCTGGTGCTGGTGGCAAAGTCAAAACCCGCCTCTAAGACCCAGGTTTAAGAAATGGCATTCCACGGGGCGCCTGGGTGGCTCAGATGTTAATATTAAACATCTGTCTTCAGCTCAGGTCATGATCTCCAGGTCCTAGGATCGAGCCCCACATCAGGCTCCAGGCTGGCTCAATGGGGAGTCTGCTTCTCCCTCTCCCTCTGCCTCTCCCCCTGCTTGGGCTCTGTCTCTCTCTCTCAAATGAATAAAAAAAAAACCTTAAAAAAGAAAGAAAGAAAAAAGAAATGCATTCCAACAGTCACTGGTCTTTTTTAAAGCGATCTTCCACGGGATGCCTGGGTGGCTCAGTTGGTTAACCCTCTGCCTTTCGCTCAGGTCATGATCTTAGGGTCCTGGGATCAAGTCCCACATCGGGCTCCTTGCTCAGTGGGGAGCCTGCTTCTCCCTCTGCCGGACGCTCCCCCTGCTTGTGTGCATGCCCTCTCTCTCTCTGACAAATAAATAAAATCTTTTAAAAAATTTTAAAAAGGGGAGCCTGGGTAGCTCAGTTGGTTAAGTGTCTGCCATTGGCTTGGGTCATGATCCCGGAGTCCCGGGATCGAGCCCCACAATGGGGTCCCCGCTCAGCGGGGGGGGAGGGGGGGTCTGCTTCTCCCTCTGCCCTTCACCCCCCTTGTGCACACTCCATCTCAAATAAATAAAATCTTTTTTAAAAATTAAAAAAAAAGGGATATTCCATTAATTCACACATTCAAAATTCCCTGGCAAATGCAGATTAAAATACCACATCACTCACGAAACTGGCAAAGACATAAACAAAGATGCACTCTCATACACTATTGGTAGGATACTATGTACGTTGGCGCAACCCACAGGAAGTGCAGCTGAATTATCTGTGAAAGCCAGACAGGGGTGCCTGGGTGGCTCAGATGGTTAAGCGTCTGCCTTCAGCTCAGGTCATGATCCCAGAGTCCTGGGATCAAGTCCCGCATCAGGCTCCCTGCTCCTTGGCAGCCTGCTTCTCCCTCTGCCTCTGTCTGTCTCTCATGAATAAAAAAAAAAAAAAAAAAAAAAAAAAAAGCCAGACAGGTGTGTGCCGTTTCCAGGAACTCTTCCGGGTGTGTGTCCTAGAACACACTCATACATGTGCCAGCAAGGATACTTTCTGTGAACGGTGTGTGAAGATGAGAAACCACTAATACGCTAGAAAACTACCAAAAGATAGTCACACGTTCATGGAACAGAACCCTACAGCAAGAAACTGAAGGAAGTTGTACATAGCAACAAGCAGAAACCTCAAAAACTGGTGTGTGAATAATGCAAGCGAGAAAGACATACACAGCATTTATGGGGGATTTTTTTAAAAGCACAAAGCGCACACGCGCACAAACGCGCAGGCAAGCACACAGTTTATGGGCAGCACACACATGTAATAAAGGGTAAAGACAGAATGGAAGGCACACTAATGTCTGCATTAGTGACAGGAGGGACAGGAGGGGACTGGAGAGGGAAGCACTGGGAACCTGAATTTCCATTATGGTGTGCTACAGCTTTTATTAAAGAGAAAAAACAAAACCAAAATCCTTAGGCAAAAATGACAAATATGGTGGACCCATGAATATTTGTGATAATCTATCCCTTTCTGTAATTTTGAAACTTCAACTACCGCCTTCTAATTTCTTTCAAAGTAAACCCTAATCATGCTGAGTGGAAAACAAAACAAAACAAATACAACAGTCTCGAAAGGGTACGGTACTGTATGACTCCATTTACATAACATTCTTAAAATGACTACAATATAGAGATGCAGGAGATTTGTAATTGCCAGGGGTCAGAGAAGTGGACGTGGCTACAGAAGGGTCACGGGAGGGATCTTAGTGGTGATGGATGTTCCGTATCGTGACTGTCAACATCCTATTATATCGTGCTATGGTTTTTCAAGATGTTATCACCAGGGGAAACTGGATAAAGGGCACATGGGATCTCTCTGTATTATTTCTTGAGACTACTGAACACCCTTGCCTGCTGAGAGCAGAAAGGAACTCACGGGTGCCACACCACCAGAGATCAGCATGGTGGAGGCCTCCCCAACACCATCCTGTCTTGCCCAGTGGTTTTAAGGAAGTGGTGCTGCCTCCTGGGGGCACTCTCAGTGATGGGGATATGGAGGACAATGGCTGGGGTAAGGATGCTCCGAGTCCTGGGCACGAACACCCATGCATCCCACATCCTGCTCCTGTCTGGGCTGTCTAAAGACATGATGAACCCCTCATCTACAATCATTTACAGCCACATACAAATCTCTGAGCCATCCCAGGGATTTCTGGTGTCTGTTCTGCTCTTGGAAGCATGAAGGGCTGGGCATCAGGGTGCACTAAGAAGCAACAGAGCTTCCCTCCTCTCTGGCCTTTCTGGTACAGCAGTCAGCAACCCAAGGAGCCTGACTCTGTTCTACACATAAACATGTATTTTCCACTTCAGTAGAAAAGAGTTTAGATTCTATGTTAAGGACTTATATACATGACTTATATTATAATAGAAGTTGAGGGATTTAAATACTGTGCAAAACGCAAAATTTAAATATACACCCAATTTCCCAGAAATGGAATTACTCTCTAAACCAGGGAACACTGTTCGGAACTTTACCAAGTCACACTTCCATGGCAATGCCACTTTAAACATCCCCGGCAGCTGTCACATTCCCGACCCCATCTGTCTTACAGCGCGAATACGTTTTACATACAAAACATCATTGTCAATTCTTTTCCCTCTCGTGTTCAAGAATGGACTATATTAGCTACGGACGTCACTGAAGGGGATGATGTTCTACCAGGGGTATGAAGCAGTATCTCAGCACCATCCTCCGACAGATACATGCTGCTGACCCCAATCCTAGCACGGCCCCATCCTGAGTAACCCTTCTGCTCTCTGTACTTACCACCGCCTCAGTGAGCATCACTCTAGCACTCACAGGCCCTGGGCACCACTCATGCATTCAGTTAATCATTCCTGAGCTCCTACTGTGTGTTAAGCACCATGCCGAACCAGGGGTACAGAGGTAACCACAGAGAGACTGCACCAGGGGGGCAACTACATTTCATCTCCTCATCTCTGCCCAGGCTCCCTGACCCCATCACTCTTAATAACCTTCTCAGCCTGTGGGTCTCAGCTAAGGGCACTTCCAGCATCACTCCACCTAGAGACCCCTGACAACACAAAGTCACTCTCAAACTCAGACCCCATTTCTTTTGAGCACCTATCTTCATGTGAACAAATCTTATTCATCTGTTCACATACCCTTCTGTCTGTATGCCCTGACAACTCGAGCACAGTCTCTATGAGGAGGGCCTCCTCTGGTGTGCTTACAACTAAAAACTATCTGGGGTGCCTGGCTGGCTCAGTGGGTTAAGCATCTGCCTTCGGCTCAGGTCATGATCCCAGGGTCCTGGGATTGAGCCACGTGTTGGGCTCCCTGTTCGGCAGGAAGTCTGCTTTTTCCCTTCCCTCTGCCTTCCCCCACCTCCCCCACCTGCTCATGCTCTCTCTTGCTCTGCTAATAAAAAAAAAAACATTTTTTATTTTTTTTAAATGTTTTATTTATTTATTCACGAGAGTCAGAGAGAGAGAGAGAGAGAAAGGCAGAGGGAGAGGGAGAAGCAGGCTCACCACAGAGCAGGGAGCCTGATGCGGGACTCGATCCCAGGACTCTAGGATCATGACCTGAGCCGAAGGCAGACACTTAACCATCTGAGCCACCCAGGCGCCCTCTAAATAAAATTTTTAAAAAGAAAAAAGAAAAACAACTTAAAACTATCTGGCACACAGCTGGACCTTAACAAGCATTTACTCCGGGAATACAACCATCCCTGCCTCCCTCTGACTCTACTATTCCCACCATTCTCAAAGCCTATGTGAGCCATTTCCAGTTCCAGTGGTAAGGACTTGAGAGCCAGAGAATATCTAATGGATAAAATAATTTGGAAGAAAATGGCTGTCAAGAATACAAACACTGAGTCCCTGACTCAGTTTCTCCACCACCCTGCCAGTGTGTCCTAACTGGTCTGGTACCCTAGCTGACACCACTTGGATGCTACCCTCAATCTGCACAGGTTCTCTACCTGAGATGCAGTGTCACCAAGAACACGCAGGTTTTGTTCTTTAGGGCAATCTGCACTACCCCTCTGGCCCACTCACACCAGCTGAGTGACCACCACAACCCAGCAAACCCCTACGGAGCCAGAGGACCAGAGAGTAAACGACACCACTCTAGTGACTCTTCAACGCTCAGGACTGCGCTCTGCATATGGATGTTATGCTCAGGGCTGGCAAGTGACGGGTCTGATGTCACACTAGGGTTACAGGGGACAGAGCAAAGGTACAAACCCAAGTATGCGCAGACTCTAAATCCTACAACCCTGTCCACAGAGCACCCTATTTCCAACTTCTTCCCAATATTAAAAAAATGGAATAGTTTAATTTTAGCCCAAACAGTCAACATTTAGGGGTTACTACGTTTCCTCTTTCTTGAAGACATTTCCCCACCAACCTCAGCTTCTTTTTTCTTTGCACGGACTTTCTCCACTTCCATAAGAATCTTCTGGGATTCATCCACATTTCCCTCAGCTCCCAGTTGCTCAGCTTTAGCAAGAAGTTTTCCTATTTCTTCATTCAACTCATGTACTTTTTCTGCCTGAAAGAAGACAATCAGGTAAGCAGACATCTAAAACCAAAAGATCTTAACACAGAGACAATGAGTGTTTCTCTTGCTGGACTTCTCTGTTCTACCAAAATTAAATGGAATAGCCAAGATCCTCGCAGGATCACAAGCAAACTGTAACAATTCTGACATCTTAACTGGCATCGCTGAGACTCTGACCTTAAACTAAACCTGCGTGTTGCATTCCAGGAGGAGCAGCATGCCTGTCACTTCCAACATGGTGGCCAGGGTCATCATGGTGGTCACTTTCTAGGCTGTCTCTTCTCATGTCTTCTATCACAACTCAACCTTCTCAGTAGGGGCCATAAGATGTCCAGGATTAAATGCATAAACTTGTACCGTAAGCAAAATGCCTAATCATTTGGGATTTAATTCTAGAAATAAGGTAGCAACTACACATATCCTAAGCAATGCTTTTATAAAACTGAGAGGAAAAGACACTGAAGAGACTCATCAGCTGCACTCAAAATCGGGGAACAGAAGAAGGATGTGCTGATAGGCCAATGACACACAGATCTATCTTCTTCATTCTTCAGGACAGCTGTACCACAGTCTAACCATTTCCCAACTGTCTCCATTTCCTGTTTTATCTGGGGGTGTTAAAAAAAAAAAAAAAAACTGGGGGAGAGACAGAGGCAGCTCCTGGGGCAGAGAGCTTGCTGACAGCCTTCTCTCCTTACTGAGAAGCACTGAGGCAGCAAGGACTGTCCACCCCAAAGACGCAGAGTCAGTGCTAATGGTAAGCTGTTAGCCTGTTGACAGGCTGGTTTTTACCAGACACTGATTTGCACACACAGCTCGGAGGAGAAAGTCTCTCAGGCATACCTTTGCAGAAACTTCTGCACTGATCTCCTCTTGGGTCTCTGCCAGCCGCTTCTTGGCAAGCTCAGTTCTCCGATCACACTCAGCAATAAAGGACTCCAAGTGATCCATCGCCTAGCTCAGGAGAAGCAGAGAGCTATGATCAGTTACGAGCAAGGTCTTGGAACCCATCAGTTCAATAGGACATACACTCCTGGGTTGGTTTCCTAAAGCCTGTAAGTTCAGTGGGAAGACCTTGAACTACACTACAGCACATCCATAATCACGTTAAACCAAGTCATCATTCAGAAGCATTGTCTTCTCATCTGATCTATTTGTTCCTAAAAGTTGTAAAAGGACCCCCATCCCTCGATAACATTTCCCGGGTTTTTTTTTGGCCACAATTAGTAGCGTTTTCTGTGGGGAAGCAAATGCTGGACTGAGACTAGTATCGGAGGCCCTCTTCTGGTGAGCTGTGGGGGGTGCGGATGATGTACTCACTGGTCTGTGTGAGCCACGTAAATATTATTCCCCCATGTTCTGAGGGTAGAGATCCCCCTTCCACCTCAAAACAAAACAATAGAACAAATATTACTGAGAGCTGTGAGCACGGGTCGTTATTGCCTGTCTAAAGTAGTAGGAGAACTGGTAGCTACTTCCCCAAAGAGATAAAGGGAAAGGAACTCTAGAAATCTACCCGCTCACTCCGAAAACACTTGTGGGGGAAACACGAAAACACTAATGAGCTGCTTCTCAGTGTGTTAGGCAGTTAATTTGCCAGGACGAGTCAAAGGCCCCAGCATAACCTCAGATAGACCTACAACTAGGATATCTGCCAGGCTATGCCCAGTGACTACCAAGCAGCACCTCCTAAGTTACACCCGCTAGTGCACTTGCAAATGCTGGCATTGTGTTAAGTGTGACAGCAAGGGAGTTTAGCACAGGATGACAGGACTGCATCATGTGATCTATCACCAAAAAATACAGAAGAAACAACTTTGGGTGGAGATGATATAAAACAGATGAAGGTTACGCCAACAGACCAAGTGGTGGTAATCTATGTCCCTCTGTCCAAAGAAGGCCAGAGAGAGCAAGTCAGCTGTTAAGAAAGCACTCTATGGGGGCCCCTGGGTGGCTCAGTCGTTAAGTGTCTGCCTTCGGCTCAGGTCATGATCCCAGGACCCTGGGATCGAGCCCCGCATCAGGCTCCCTGCTCAGCGGGAAGCCTGCTTCTCCCTCTCCCACTCCCCCTGCTTGTGTTCCCTCTCTCGCTGTGTCTCTCTCTGTCAAATTTAAAAGAAAAAAAAAAAAAGCAAGCACTCTACGAGGATCAGTGTGACACTGGAATGGACAACAGGGTTAGGGTCTCCTCCTGAAATCTTAAATACTCTTTTCAAATAAATGCATACTTGGAAATAGGTCAAGACAGAGAATAGGCTCTGTGACAGTGCCAAGCCCCAGAGGGTGCTGGAGAAAGGCTAAAGCATAATCACCCACTGAGGCCAACTCCCAATTTCACTCCATAATTTTGGAATTCAGGACCTCTTTCCTGTTGTTGGACATCCAAATATTCCCTGATAAACATTTCTATGTTCAAATCAATCAGGAAAACAAATAATCAGCATTTGTCTGCATGCACCATACTTCTTGGAAAGACACAGAGTTGACAATCCTGCTGACAGTGATAACTCACCAGGATCAAGGTGCCGGCAAGCTGATACAGGTCACATGCCTCCTGTGAGGGACAATGGATCCTAGAAGACCACCCTCATATGCCCCAGGCTCACCCACACAGAGGTACTGAGTCTATGGTGCAGAGTCCTTCTGTTATCTACCCAGAGTGATTTCACACCTGAGACAGACCCACAAATCCACTCATCAGGGTTGAAGTCAAGTGGGTGACATGGGACACCCTGACCAAAGCAACTGGCAGCAGCTTCAGCAGAACCCAAATCAGCTACAGACTCAGACATCTGATAAGCTAAAAACTAAATGGTAACTTCACAACACAGAATAGGCAGACCACAGAGACATCTTTTAACTGCCACATTCTTTAAAAGATGGCACTCTGGAGGTGGCTGGGTGGCTCTGTCGGTGAAGCGTCTGCCTTTGGCTCAGGTCACGATCTGAGGGTCCTGGGATCAAGTCCCTCATTGGGCTCCCTGCTCAGTGGGGAGCCTGCTTCTCCCTCTCCCTCGCTCATGATCTCTCTCAAATAATAAAAAATAACAATCTTAAAAAAGATGGCACTCTGTTCTACTGCCCCTTCTCCTGTTCAATGTGCTGGTCAATTTCAGATTGAGTCCTAAAATATATCAAAGAGGAGAGGTTTAAATAATTTTTTTTTTTAAAAGGTATTCAAGTCAGGGCGCCTGGGTGGCTCAGTGAGTTACACATCTGCCTTCGGCTCAGGTCATGATCCCGGGGTCCTGGGATCGAGCCCCGCATTGGGGCCCCCTGCTCAGTGGGGAGCCTGCTTCTCCCTCTCCCTCTGCACCCTCTATCCCCGCTCATGCTTTCTCTCTCTCAAATAAATAAAATCTTAAAAAAAAAAAAAAAGGGTATTCAAGTCTAAAAATTAAGTCCTAATCACAACCTACCATTTACTGGAAAGTCACCCAAGCTCTACAACTTAAGCGTGGTCTGATGAAACATGGACGACTGGGGATGCCTGAGCACAGCGCCGGCACACAGGAGGCACGTGAGTCTCACTGCTGCTGGAGGCTGTTCGTCCACACTCAGGACTGTGCGGTGCTAGTCCCAGTGTTGCCAGCCCAGCAGAAATGACACTGGCCAGGAATCTGAGCCTGAGACGGGCTATCAAGGAGACTGGTCACAGCACACACGTGCCCCCTGTGCTGCATGTCCACACAGGCCTTCAAGCGCCACACGGAAAATGGAAGGTCTCCATTTCCCAGATGAAGAAACTGAGGTACAGTTTCCACACTACTAAGTGATGACATCAGGGTACAAGGACCCTTATGGTTTGGCTCCAAAGTCCCTACACTCAATGTGTACAACTCTGAGACAGTCACCACCAGCCCAGTTCATAGATGTACAGAAAAAGTTAAAATAACTTGCCCAAGGTCACAAAGGGGTTCTAACCCAGGACATCATCTGACTTAGTCAATGTAACTATTCTACTGTACATCTGTAGACGGAAAAAGTAGGTGTATTCAGAACTAGTTTCATTTGGTGTATTAAAGATAGTCTGGAAATTAGTTGATATAATGTGTAGTTTCAGAAACCTGTAAATAAAACATCACAAACCAAGACAATTTGGGGAAAAAGTTAACTGTATTTTTACTGAGTTAAAAACAATCAGTTCTTTATATTTTCAATATGTGGACACTAAAGAAATTGTACTTTTCTGTAACTTTTTCACAGGTTAAATATACATGTTAATATCGCTGTTTGCCAGTGTTCAAGTTGAGAAACTTGAAATGTTATTTATACAGATTACTTAGTAGCACACATTATATACTCTTTCCTAGGGAATTTCTGGATAAAACACTTTCAGGAAGCCAAGGCCAGGACTTGGCATGATCAGGCCGAGGCTGTGTTAGGCTAGAAGGAGCCAACGGTGAGGACAGGGAGGCACCTTCTCCTAGATAAAACACCAGCGGTTCCACCCACCAAGCTCAAGCCAAGGGGCTAGGCAGGCAACACCTCCACAAAGAAATACCTTTCTATAACTCTGACTGGCAAAGACCCCAAAATATGGTTACTCACTGTTAGCAAAGATGTGAAGATGGGAACTCTTCTACACTGCTGTTGGGAGCATTCGCTCCGCTGGATAACACCATGGTACCATCAAAACCCCAGATACCCCTCTGATCCAACAGTTCTGCATCTAGGAATCTCCCCTGCATACATGCAAACAATGCATACATGCAAACAAGGGCAATGTGTAATGCAGCACCATGATCATCAACAGGGGACTGGTCATATAAAGAAGATATCCATCGTCTGGAATGCTGTGAAGCCACAAAAAGGAATAAGGAACTCTACACAAAGATACACTAAAAAGTTAAACAAAAAAAGGAAGGGTGAGGTTAGAACAGGTGTACAAATTACCACTTGTGTAAAAGAAAAAAAAAGGAATACAGACATTCTGTCTGCCTCAGGTATCCACATAAACTCTAAAGCACACAGAAACACTGGTTACTTCTAGAGGCAACCAGATGACTGAAGAACAGAGCAGGAGAGAGGTTTCACATGTACCTTCTTTACTGGTAAATTCTGATCCAAGTGAAAGTTATACAGGTTTTTATGTTAGTTAAGAGATGCTGCAACCTCAGTGAAATAACTCATCTAGGCAACAATCCTGAAGTGCTGCTTAAAGCATCAGGTCAAAGGCTCAAGGGGACCCTGACCTTCAACAGGTCAAGGCTGCCTTCAACAACGGTGCTGGTTGAGGTGATACATGAGCAGGTGCAAGCTCTGCCTCTGAAATGTTCCCATCACAAAAGAAAAACTTAAATCTGATGATCAAGCCTCCAGCTCTAACTCCTAAGAATTTCAAAGACAAGGGGGATCATGTTAAAAAAGACATCATGAGGCTATAATCAGCAAAATCCAGGGTATGAGACTTCTAAAAAAAAATTAGTTTCTTCAAACAAATAGATTTAAAAAGATTTACAAAGCATTCTAACGTTTGGCCCTTATTTTGAATCCTGAGTCAAAGAAATAAAACTATAAAAGAATCCTTTCTGAAGTAATCTGGGAAATGTGAACTCTATCAGATGCTAGGAAATTATTTTTAAAGATGACTGTTTTTAGTAAGTCCTCAAATTCTAGATGTACTATTTACATATTTACAGATGAACTTCTACCTTGTAGCTATAAAAAGTAATCGGGGCAGGGGGGCACATGTCTGCTTGGCTCAGTTAGTGGAGCATGTGACTCTTGATCTCAGGGTTGCGGGTTTGAGCCCCATGTTGGGTATAGATACTACTTAAAAATAAAGATCTTATTTACTTGAGAGAGAGAAATCGAGCATTAGCTGGGGGGAGGGGCACAAGGAAAGGGAGAAGCAAAGTCTCTGCTGAGCAGGGAGCTGGACATGGGGCTCCATCCTAGGACCTGGAGATCATGACCTGAGCCAAAGGCAGACGCTCAACTGACTGAGCCTC